ACAGAGTGTAAAATAATATAAATATAAGTATTTTTAGGTTTCTGTTAGAGGAACCTGACTTGTTGAGAAGATGTTAGCTAATAGAGACAAGTTTCATCCTATAACCAGAGAACATTTTCTAACTGTTGACTGGTAAATATAAATATTCTTATTTTTTATGACAGTAAGAAGAAATAATAAATATAATTTATTACTAGCTGAAGTCATCATTTTTCAACTAGCTAAAGTCTAAGTTACAGGCTGACTTCAGGTCTGGTTTAGATCATTGTTACTTATAAATTATATATTTTTCTGGTATAAATCTGCTGTTTTACATGATTGTTGAATGAAATTAACATAGTTATTAATTTATTGTAAAAACATGACAGATAATCTGTGAAACAGATCCGGTTCAACAAAGTTTGTCTATTAGTTTCTATGGAGGCTGTGAGTTGTTGCCCTGTTTGGTCTGTTTCTGCTCCTCCATGCTGTCACAGATGCTACCAGTGTATGGTATGGGCGGGGCTCAGTCTAGTGATCTTTATATTTAAGTCTATGGGCTGGACTCATCTTTATGCTGTGTTCAGACCAAACATGACTTGAGGGTCTGGTTTACATGCAAATTCTATGGTGGATGCACATCTAGGGGCGTTGAAGTGTCATGGCGTGTCTTGCGCTCTGTGTTTTGAAGTGTTTTGCACATCTGGCACTGCGTGTTTTTCAGATTTCTAAGCATTTGATGGGCATACAGCACATCCAACGCAGCAGATGCTACAGTTGGAAAATCTGGAGTGGTGAAACTCGCTAAACTCAGAACTCCTCTGAATTACCTGGTGAATCCAGAAACGGTGGAGGAGTCCAATGACGTGCTTTTATTATTGTAAATAAATGAATAAAAGCCAAGCTACTCTCTCAGTTACATCTGCCAAAGAGGCCAGCAGAGGAAAACAACCAAAAGTCTAGTTTATTACTGTACTTTGTTCATTGTTTTTATTTTATGCTCCTGTACAGCACTTTGGTTTTTATTGTGCTTTATAAATAAACGATGAACGATGAACGAAAAGTCGAGGCTTCAAATGCGCATCTTTCCACACGTTGCTTCGACGCGCGTGTAGAGTGATTTGATGCCTGATACGAGCATCTGACTATTTAAGGTGTTGCACGCTTTTTGACTCATGAAACACGGTTGAAGTGATTTGGGCATCTGGTTAGCATGCCCTCTGGATCCCTACGAAGGGAGGTGTTTCAGTCATGTTCCACCAGGAAGAGACCTTGGAGCAGACCCCGGACTTGCTGGAGAGATTACATCTCACAGCTGGCCTGGGAATGCTTTGGAGTCCCTCCAAATGAGCTGGAGAAGAGAGCTGATGAGAGGGAGGTCTGGGGATCTCTGCTCAAGCTGTTGCCCCTGTGACCTGGTCTCAAATTAGCAGCAGAAGATGGGTGGACTTCACAGCTTTCACTTTAAAATTGAGAAGCCTCTTGAATGAGGAGTGAAATGTTTGAGAATCAAAAGAGAAGTTAAGCTGCCTTAAATTGGATTTCCTAGGATTAACAAGTCTTAATGACTGAAACCTAAACCAATAGTATGTTTTGTAAATTTGTTAAATATAGGTTTGAATAAACGAATAAGATGTGAGTTGTTACATTTTAGAAAATGCACAGTAAAAGCATTCATTTTTTTCTGAACCAGCAGTCTATTAATAGCTGTTTCCATGACCCACATACAAAATAAAATTGTAGAGGAAAGTATGATTTCAAAACATTTCACAATTCAAAAGTTTTATATTATATTAGTAAAAAAACAATAAAGTAGAACATTTTGAAGAAATTCGTAAGGATGCTGCCTGAAATTCCAATATTTGTTTCGCAATATAGCTCATGAACTTACAAATTATGATAATCTAAGCCTATGTTTGGATGTATAARCTGATTAAGAAAAATAGGGGAGGCCGGGGACAGTAGAAACAAGGGACAGTTGCAACACGTCATTTTTCTCCAAACAGAAACAATCAGTGTGATGACACTCACACTGTACATGCTCAGTTAGATGTCCCACCTTGCAAAGAAAAAGTAAGCAAATTCAAAAACTGCTCCAGGATTTATTTGAAAAAAACTGTTTTTGAGGAACCAAAGTATTTTTTTTTTGCCCAGCTTTATTTTTGTTCTACTGTTGTCACTGTTTTTGTGATCCATCTCAAACTTTTATGGTTTAAATAAGTGATATGTTGACTTTTAACAAATCTAGTTAACATGTATCCAGATCAGCTTATTTAGCTAACACATGAGGTTTTATCATGGCTGACAGGAAGACAATAAATCCATATAAAAACAGAGCATAAAGATGATATTAAGATGTTGAAATTAAGTTTACACCTAAAAGGGTATTGGGTGTTCATGACAATGTTATAGTTTAAAACATAAAAGTGTTTAAGATGTATTTTCTGCAGTTGTTTTCAACAATGGTTTTAAAATCCCAGTTTCTTTCAATGTAAAAGTTGCATAATGTAGGCGTACAGTGACAATAGGCAAAAYWAAAGTTAATTGCCTCACAAACTGATCTATTATCCTTGTCTCAAAAAGTCAACTGTATTTTATATCAATTAGAGTCTTTGACATCTGTATATAAGGTCTACTCTTCAAGGCAAATAACCTATATTAACCAATATTCGTCATTTGATCAAAAAGAATAAATAACACTAATATCATTATAACTTATAGTTTTTATTAATTTAGCAATAGTATAAATATAAAAATTATAAAACTTTTATTTACAGTGAAATATATTGTATTAATAATATGTTACAACCACCCCCCAAGCAATGTTACAACTGTCCCCGGCCCCAGGGTCAGTTGCAACATCTGACTTTTCATTTTTAAATGCAAATTGTGTAGAATGTACATCATTTATAAATAGTTTTGACTATTAACAGACAGATATAAGTTTATTGTATTAAAATTTGGTTTGTCTAATTCAAACCATCTCTGAGTAACAGAGTCAAATGTAAAAAAAGTGTTGCAACTGTCCCCGGTCTCCTCTAAATAGATTCAAGGTAAAATATTAAATCTGCTGCCAGTCACTCATTAGTGTCACTATTAGTTTCACTCTTGGAGAGTGTGGCAATTAAAACTGTGTCACAATGTAAAAAATACAAGTTGGGTTTTAAAAAAAAAATCCTGACTCAGTGTCAGAAGACTTTGATAATCACTTCAGTTTTTATATTTGTATGGTGTTTGTGTCGTAGATTTGACAAACTAAAAAGTGCCTTTACTTTTAGTTTTTAAAAGTAAATTCTGAGCTCAGATACAATGTGAGTCAGTGAGGATTTGAGTGATTGCTCTCAGCTCTTTGTAGAGATTAGACAGAAAGCAACAAGTCTTAAAGCAGTGAGAGACACACTGGGTGAAAGAAAACAAAAACGTATGTGTTTTAATGTATAAACAAAGATTAATAAAGTTTRTGGAGACAAATATTTTTTTTTAGAATTTGATTTACAGTTCACCCCACGTGGGACTTRTTACCCCATTAAGAGAGCATTTATGGGCGTGTTGAACTGTTTCACCTGATATAGAAAATCCAGTCATGATCAAAACATTAATGTTCATTTCTGTGCTTAGATGTGTTATCCTTTTTTATATTAACTTGTATATAAGTTTCTGCAGCCCAACGCTTTTGCCTGTGATATACACGTAACTGTTTACAAAAACATTTACCAAAACTTTGGGAGTTTTTGTCTCTCAAAAACAAACACTGTAACAAAACAAAAACTTTTTAATTATGTAAAATGTTGTTAAAAGCTATCAAATGCCACATCAGTCAAATAAAATCCAACTTTTCATGAATTCATATTGAATTAGGTTTTGATTGTGAACTAAATTTGAGTTATAGAGGTTTAAAGAGAACTGTTTTCTTATTGAAATCCCACTGTTGTCTGTGGAGAAAATATTCAGTTTCTACATTTTGTAATGTACTACTACCAATAGTCAAACTACATGATTGAAATGTGTACTTTTATGTAATACCCCCCCCCC